CCCTCAGATCGCGTCTTTGATAATTCACACTGCGTGATTGTCACTCACGTGAACGAGCACCGATTTGCCTCCAATTTTGGGCATTTGTCGGCGATTTCGCAAAACCTGTAGGCGAGTGAAAAATCGGGCTAAAATCGTGCAGTGTGAACTCGGCATTACTGCAATTCTATCTGATGACGCAGTAACTACTGCAGGGAAGAAAAAATCTTCGGTCTGTCCAATGATTGTAAACAGTCATTAGGTCCGTCAGACTGAAGATATTTTAGCGGTAATGAGACCAAAAATATTTAATATTATTTAACGTTATTTAAGACATTTTAAGACTTTTTAAGGACCCGTGGACACCCTGATAAAACATAATGAAATGAAAAATAAAATAAAATATTGATTTGAGCTACAGAGAATAGAGACAAGTAGAGGGGTCTATCAAGTGAAGGGGTTTATTTTGTGGTAATGACTGACTTTACATTATGCTGCTTAATACAGCATTTTACAAAATTAAGATATAAAATAAAATAGTGATTTTAGTTATAAAGAATAAAGTTAATGTAAAGTGATATGAGACATAAGAAATTAGAAATTTGGTTGCCTGGGATAATAAACAGCTGTAACTGACCAAGTATTTCAGATATCTGTTCCTCAGTAATCAATCTACAAAATACTCTAAAATGCTAGGATACATAACTAACAGAATGTTACAAGTGTCCTTAAGTTGTGTCTGGACTGACTTGGAAATGCTCAAAAGTTAGTACAATATCACAACTCTGCAACTCTGTACTTCATCAGAAGGTATAGCCTACATCAAACCCCTGAAAGAGTAAAAGGTCAAGACAAGAACTGATGCTACAGGAATGAGGGCTGACCTTGCTGAAAATGATGGACATAACGAAAAGATCCAGCAGCAATGTCTCCGAAAACTGCCGGTAATCAAATGTGAAGAACAGGACCGTGAAGAGGACAGTGACATATTGATATGTTGGACTACTGAAGGAAGAACGCAGCAGCTTCAGCCCAGCGATAGTTATCAATAGAGCCCCGACCCTGAGAGAGAGAGAAAGAATTAATTGACTGCTTGTGAATGATAGTGCAGAACAATGTTGAGCTGATACACAATGAGGTACAGACAGCCAATCAGTTCGTCAATAAAATACAACTGTTAACAATGAATGAAAAGACATAAGACATGAGGTCAGATTGAAGAGGTAATACTGACTCTGTGTTGAGTTTCCTGGGGCTGGCGAGCTCCTGTGCGCTGCCACTCAGCTCATTAAGCACAACGAGTGGATAGAGGATGTTTTTCTCCACAAACAGCAGCCACACATGTGTACGCTCAAACCACATGACATGGGCGGCACCTGCACATAGAAAATAAGCTCACACTTCAGTACTGTTAATGCTAACTAAGTCCCAGCAGAATAACAGTGTTATCTTTACAGAACTTAAATTTGTGACTTACCCCGGATCTCAAACTGATAATACTCTCTGGTTTTGAGCAGCGGGTGTGAGAAACAGTACCAGGGTAACTGCTTCCTCATCTGGGGCAACAGGTAGTGAGTCAACAGCCCTACTGCCCCGACTAGACCGTACAGAACATAGCTCAAAAAAGGCTAGAAAAGAAGAAAGAGGGACAAGAACAGTCAACAACTGCCTATTTATTCGTCGTTTGATTCTGAATATTATTATAATTTAAAATAACTGTTTTGTATTTTGATATATTTAAAAATGTCATTTATTCCTGTGATGGCAAAGCTAATTTTTCAGCAGCCTCTACTGCACTCTTCTATGTCACATGATCCTTCACAAATCATTCTAATATACTGATTTGCTGCTCAATAAATATTTCTTCTTATTATTAATGTTAAAAACAGAGGTGCTGCTTAATATTATTTTTTATAAAAACCATGATGCATTTTTTTCAGGATTCTATGATGGAAAAAAATCTTATTGACCCTTATTGAACTACTGAATGGTATTGTATATTGGCCAATATTAGATTTTGCATTTTTGATTTTGTAAGACTTTTTTTGTGCATACGATGTCTAAATTCACTTGTAGCCTTTAAAATGACTGATTTTTGTTTTTAGTGTTTTATTTTTAATTTAGTTAAACAACATAATATAGAATATATATTAAAGTGCCCCTTTTATGGATTTTTGAAAATTACCTTTCATGCAATGTGTAACACAGCTCTAAGTGAATGAAAACATCCTGCAAAGTTTTAAATCTGAAAGTGCACCTTATTGTCTCTCAAAAGAAAGAGTCGACTCTGAATCATTGAAACGAGTCGAATGAAAACAAATCCCAAGCCGTTTCATGTTGACGTCAACATGAAACATTAGCATATTGCCCGCCACTTGTTGCGCGCGCAGACCCGGGAAAACTTGAACCCCCCCCCTCCCTCAAACACTGAAACTGTGCTCTGCACTGTGACGGTAAATCTGTGTTTTCTTCTTCTTTTTTTACTGCCAAAGGACGAGGCTGTGAAGAATCAATGGTTAAAGTTCATTTTGTGTCCCCGTCATTTTACTGAAGACTGCTACAGTGTTTCCCACAGACTTACGCTGTGTGTGGCGGGGCTTCCCCCGTGGGATATATATACCGGTTCACATTTACAGCTCTGCGTGTTTGCTATGTAAAACCATCAGTGGATTTTCGAGTTGGTCTAAATGAAAATGCAAATTCATTCTTTGCCACTAGGTGCCGCTTTTGGAGCAGTAAAAATAGCTGTTTCCCTGGTAACGGATGTACACAAAGCAGCACTGTGCTCACAAATGCTGCTTTATGAAATGGAAATGAAATCGACCAATCAGATCAATCACCGCATATTAGCGTCACGCAAAGGAGGGGTTTGGAAAAATGAATCGTTGAGCGAATCGTTTGGGAGTCGTTGAGCAAGTAAGGTAAAACGAAAAAGTTAATATAAGACAATGATAGTGTTTTTTGACCTTGCATGCACGTCAACCTGTTGTTGGGGACTCCAAAAACCAAAATATGAACCTTTCATAACCCATAATAGGGGCATTTTAATATGGCCATGTATCGGTTATCAGCCACAACATGCAAATAATTATCAGCATATTGGTATTGGCCAGAATTTTAACAATGCTCCATCTCTAAACATAGTGTTTTACCTGTAAGGCAATGAAGACAGTGCTGACATGAATGGCAAAATACAGGACAGCAATGACAACACACACAATCACATCTGACTGTAGTCTCTCATTCTGTAGCCAGAGAGAAAGAAAGAGACACAGATGCATCATTCAAGACAGAAGAGACCATTTGTGTCCATTTATGTCTGATTCTATCTATGTTTGTGAGATTTATATTGCTCACCACAGAGCTGCGGAGTTTCTCTGGTAAAGGATCCTGAACTTCAGAAAGCGGATCCTCTGGATTTTTATCTTTCACATTAGGGAAGACCTTTGATTGCAATAATGAACTACACATACAAGGGACAATATTAAAATTCACTAAATTCAAACTAAGCACAACCAAAGGTCCTTAAACATCAAGTCTGAGACAGTAAATACTCAAAGAACTTAAAGTACCTAAAGCAGGAAAATTGCAAGAATTATTTATCAAAAACACAAACCCACACACTCGCAGAAAGACTTACATGAGATCAGAGGGGTCACTGCTTTGGCGGCTGAGATGGTATGAAACCGCAACCAGCAGCCCACAAAACACTGAGAAAAGCACAGGAATGTGCTGAGGATCCCACGAGTCCTGAAAACAAACATAATATTAAGAGGAATATTTAATGTGCTCAACACAGAACAATCCAGCATCCATACAAATACAACTGAAATCCAGAAAGAACTCAAAAGAAATGTAGAGTGATTCATCACCTTTAGGGCGCCATAGCAGAACCCATAGAGCATCGCTATGGTGATGATGCTGCGCACAACACTATACAGAGCTGAAAGCAGACTGGTGCATGCTGGGAGTGAAGATAGACATAACATTGAATGTCTGAAACACCAATCTCTACAAACACAACACAGTTTTGTAGTTTATTAAAGAAATAGTCTACCCGTAAGACCTTCATTCATCTTCGGAACACAAATTAAGATATTTTTGATGAAATCCGAGAGCTCTATGTGACATCAGTGGTTCAACCGTAACTTTATGAAGCTACGAGAATACTTTTTGTGCACAACGAAAACTAACAATAAAATAACAACTTTATTCAATGATTTCTTCTTTTCCGGGTCAGTCCGCCGCCATTCACGAGAGTACCACGAGTCATGAAGAGAAGAAATCGTTGAATGAAGTCCTTATTTTTGTTTTCTTTGCGCACAAAAAGTATTCTCGTAGCTTCATAAAATTACAGTTGAACCACTGATGTCACATGGACTATTTTAACGATGTCCTTACTACCTTTCTGTGTCTTGACCGTGTTAGTTCCCATGCTGTCTATTGAGGGTCAGAGAGCTCTCGGATTTCATCAAAAATATCTTAATTTGTGTTCCGAAGATGAATGAAGGTCTTATAGGCTTAGAACGACATGAGGGTAAGTAATTAATGACAGAATTTTCATTTTTGGGTGAACTATCCCTTTAACTGAAATTTATGTAAATAAAAAGAAATAGTACAAACATTGGTAACATTTTACAATAAGGTTCTATTTGTCAACATTAAGGCAAAATAACAATAAAAATTACTTAAAAGCATTGATTAATCTTAGTTAATGTTAATTTCAACATTTATTAATACATTATTAAAATCAAAGTCATTAATAGTAATAATAATTTGTTAAAATTCAAAGGAATAATTTCAGAAACAATCACAATGCATATGCTTATTTTTCCCAGTCCTAATGTAAAAGTGTGCATATGTTTTACCATTTCCTCCGAAGACATGAATGTCAAGTTGCTCAAGCAGGTACATGACGAAAGTGTTAATCTGAGGGAGCAGCCCAA